AATTGGTCTACTGGAATACACACTAATGCAGTCGAGCGTGATTTTTATGATATGTGTCTTAACTTAACCCTTTCTCAAGTAATAAAAGATGCAACGCGTGTGTCCTCCCAATCATCCAATATACTAGACTTAATACTTACAACTGCTCCTGAAACGTTGGATAGTATATTCCACCTTCCCGGTATTAGCGATCATCAAGTAATACTGGCTAACATCAAGCTCTCATTTAAAAAAAGTCCTACTCAGCAAAAACTAATAACACTTTATGACAAGGGAAATTATGAAGCTATTAACGCTGAACTACAAAAGTTTTACGATGCCTACGAGGTCGGTTTTCCAACGCGGGATGTTAATGATAATTGGCTTTTATTTAAGGATACTATGCGGGATCTCATTAATATATATATACCAACGCGTCTAATTAAGTCAAATCCGCAGGCACCATGGTTTAACTCGTCACTAAAGCGTCTTAATAATAAAAAGAAAAGGTTATTTAGGTCGGCAAGTAAATATAACACCCCCGCTGCATGGAATAAATACTACTCTGCCGATGAAGCATACAGGTCTGCTTTAGAATCCACCAAGCGATCATTTTATTACCAACGTCTGCCTAATATGCTAATAAGCACCCCTAAACAGTTCTGGAAAGTTATTAATCCATCTCCAACAACATTAATTTCTTTAATTGATAAGGAGGGAATAAGCATCGACGTTGAAAATTGTGCTAATATTCTTAATGAAGTGTTCAATTCGGTTTTTACAAAAGAAATTGTTGGTAATCATCCTGTAACTTCTGCCTATAACTTTCCACGTCTGTCAGCCATCGAGTTCGATGAAGAAGGCATCTACCATATAATCAAGAATCTGAAATTATCATCTTCAGCTGGTGTCGATGAGCTTAATTCGAAAGTTCTTAAAAACACAAATACTCTTACTAGTAAAATATTAACCCTCATTTTCACCCAATCACTAACTACTGGCTGTATTCCTGACGATTGGAAAGTGGGGAAGATCGTTCCTATCTCAAAAAAAGGCAACAAGTTCTCTCCTTCGAATTATAGGCCCATCTCGTTAACATGCATATCCTGCAAAATCATGGAACATGTAATCTTCTCAAAGCTAGTATCTTTTCTTGAAATGAATAAGTTCTTTTATCCTTATCAACATGGTTTTCGCAAAGGGTTTTCATGCGAGTCGCAACTTTCCGCTTTCATTCATAATCTACATTGTAATCTTGACAATAACATACAAACCGACGCAGTTTTTCTGGATTTTTCCAAGGCCTTCGATAGGGTTCCCCATAACCGACTGATGCTTAAAGTTTCCCAGCTTAACTTAGATGCTAACGTCATTTCTTGGATTAACTGTTTCCTTACCGGTAGAACCCAGTTTGTACTCGCTAACAACCACTCTTCTTATCCTTCTCCCGTCACGTCTGGAGTACCTCAGGGGTCTGTTTTAGGTCCTCTTTTGTTTTTAATATATATTAATGACCTTCCAATATCAGTAGCTTCTAACATTCGTCTTTTTGCCGATGATTGCGTAATATATCGTAGCATTATTTCTCCCGCTGATAATATTATCTTGCAGAACGACCTAATAACCATCGAAAAGTGGTGCACAGACTGGCAAATGTCACTCAACACTGATAAATGCATGCTCCTTTCCTTCCACCGCCGCACTAACCCAATGTCATTTGTGTATCGCTTAAATAGTTTCGCCCTAACATCCTGCACATCGTATAAGTACCTTGGTGTATATCTCACCCCAAACCTCTCGTGGGCAACTCACATTGAGCATCTAATTAAATCTACTAACCGCTCTTTAGGTTTCCTCAAGCGTAACTTAAAGTCAGCCCCACATCACCTCAAACTTCTCGCCTTTAAAACACTTGTTCGCCCTAAACTAGAATTTGCTTCATCTGTGTGGGACCCTCATCAGTCATATCTCTCTTCCGACATCGAGGCAATTCAAAATCGCGCAGTCAGGTTCATTCATTCAAATTATTCGTATAACACTAGTGTCACAGCGTTGAAGAAACAAGATAACTTACAAGATCTCAGCATACGCCGCAAAGTAACCCGTCTTCTGCTCTTTCATAAACTATTTAATGACGCTACTAAGTGTGAGTCATACATTCAAGTAGCTGCTGAACGCCATCTCCGCAATTACCATCCTCACCAAGTCATACCTGCAAACTGTAAAACAACTACCTTCATGAATTCATTTTTTGTCAAAACTGCTAATGACTGGAACGATCTTCCCCGTGAAATCACTTCACTTGCTGACCCATTGAAATTTAAAACAGCTCTCCTCTCATTTTTCTAACTTGTGCCTATGTTTACGTTGTCCATACAGCCAGTATTGCTATCATCAGTACACCAGTCTAACTAAACACCAGTATCATACTTAGAATTTTTCTAGCATTTTTCTAGCATTTTTTGAACCTCTCATTATTTTTTGTGCGCGTTTATTGCTTAATTTTTATTTGTATTGTATAATTTGCAAGTCCTTATTTGAGTGTCTATTTGTTACACTGTTTATTTTGTATTATCTACTTGCATTTGTTTATTATATATCACACGACCACCATGTCCACCCCTTATGTAATACCCCGCAAGGGGTCCTTAAGGTATGGAAATAAATAAATAAATAAATAAATTGATTCGGCCGAAACTTGAGTACGCATCGAGCATCTGGGATCCTCACAAAGCATATTTGATCGCTGAAATAGAAGCCTTTCAAAGCCGTGTCGCGCGCTTTATTTTTTTCTTATTATTCTCGACATTCCAGCGTCACCTTATTAAGGGCTCATTCACACTGGAAGCGGATCCGCGTTCGCAAAGCGGTTGCGAACGCGGTTGTATAAGGATTCAGTGCAATTGCACGCGCATTTGATGACATCAAATGCGCATGCAATTGCACTGGATCTTTACACAACCGCGTTCGCAACCGCTTCGCGAACGCGGATCCGCTTTCAGTGTGAATGGGGGGTAAAACAGAAAGCCGACCTTCCAGAAAGCTTTCTTGCTTATGCCTTTTTCTTCGCATTTACTATGCACCATCTCTCAGCCAAGGCACCCTAACACAGTCGCATTTCGTTACACCTCGTCTTAATCACTCATGTAAAATTGACCGTTTCACCTGCCGCACTTCTTCTTTTTTTGTATTCCTTCTTTCCCAAAACAGCAGTGTGGTGGAATCATCTAACAGAGCGCATCGTCACCGAGATTAACCCTGATAGCTTTCGTTCTCTTATCAGCAGCCATTTAGGTATTGTATGACACGATTTCTTGTATGTTGGCAATACTGTGGAATGTTTTATTTTTTGTTGCTTGATTTACGATATTTTATACATTTGCACTGCTGTGCATGTTTTTATTTTATTATTTTTGTGTGTTTTATATATGATGTACTTATCCCCCCCCCCCCCCCCCCTTATGTAATGTACTTCCCAGAATGACCTTTAAGGTATTTCAATAAATAAATAAATACATTTTCACGAAAAATTTAAACCCATTTTCATCGGCCCATTCACTCATTTTATTTATTGAGACCTCCAGTTGGCGCTCGCCACTTGAGAGGTTGCAGGAAGAAAAGGAAATCTGCGCATCGTCTACATATGATGAATAGGAGACAGATAATGGCATCACTGCAGCCAGGCTGATTATCTTTACTGCAAACAGAGTAACACTTAATACAACCCGTTGGGGGACCCGATTTCCTTGAAGAAAAATCATCGGAGAGCGCGGAATCATACCTAACCTAAAAAGTTCGGTTGGTAAGAAAATCTTGTATGCACCGCAACATTCGGCCACGGATGCCATACGTCTGCATCCACCAGGTGCCCTTTGCTAATCATTTAATTCGTTTTAAAATTTCTTTTCGTGTCGTTTTCAGCAATAGATTGGTTGGTCCGATGCGATACTGCTCTCTTAAATCCGCAAAGACCAAGAAATAACGCGCGAAATTTCGTTGTAGTATCCCTTTAACCCTCCCGTTCTCGCCTCTAAAAGTTCCCCTCTTATGTCCTGTTTTTTTCCCCCCTAGACAGCAGTTTCTTTTGTATGCCCTGTATCTTTTGTGACCTGTAGCATGCTAAAGCTTATTTCACTTGCATCATTTGCTCCCCCATTTTTATTTCTGTTTCTTTTGTTACCTTTTCCACTGAACTACTCTACCCACACGCGTTACTGTAGTGTGCAGGTAACACAACTTCAGATTTCAGGCTGAGTTTGTTCATTTTGTTTTAAAATTTTAAATGTGTTAGCACTTGAATACTTTCCCTACTCACAGCGCGTCCTTCATTTCAGCTAACCTTTGTTCAAACTTCAATTTACTCATTACCTCTCTTGTCTCAGATACCGACGAGCCTATGACACCGTGTACTTTGTCATTTGGGGTGTTCCCACCCGCACTCACTGTCAATCTGCACACGCCGTGTCATATTCATAATCGCGCGCTCACTTGTCAGTGCTGTTTGTTAGTCTTGCTTCCCAATCCAGCATGTTAAAAAGTAGATAACACTGCCCCGCCTTTTAATATAACCAAAATTATAATCTTAAATTTGAAATGTCCCAATTGACAAGTACGATACCAGGTGCGACTTGTGTTGTATACATTCTTACAACAGCTATTGCATATTTTGACGACGGGTAGCAAAGGTGAATATTTCGGAAGTTGATTAGTATGGGTTAGGTAATCAATTAACTGATTATTAGTCTACACTGGTAACCCGACAACCGCCGCTGTTGATAATGTCATATCTAATAAGTTTTCTTTATGATTTGTTTCATATCTCCCTTTTTAAATGCATTTCCATTTCTTTCGTTGGTGAATCACCTTTTACATCTTTCTCTCGATCCTAACGCTACTGCGTCTCACTTTCGCGTCTTGCTTCTGCGTCTCACGTCCCAACTTTCAGTTTCGTTTTCAAGCGCGCAACGGGCGGTGTGCAACGTGCGCAACGGCGTAGCGCGTCCTCTACATCCGGGTGATCCGGGTGGACGTTTAGCAGCTTCCGGTCGATGAATCCGTTCTTTTTCCGCCCCCGCTGCCATCGGGGGTTGAACCGTTGAACTGTCGTGCTTCTTTTTGTGTGCGGGTTCTCTCTTTCGCTGCTTCCCACCCGATCGTCATGTGGCCGTGATTGGTGACGCCGGTGTCTTGGCCGCGCTAGATCGAGCAGCAACCGAGGCTGTCAGCGATGGGTTCCCGCGCAGACGACGCTCGTCGAGCCAGCGCCGGCAATGTCCCGCCCGGCCGAAGCAGCCCGCCGCCGAGCTTCAGCCAGCTCGGAATACCGACAGGACAAGGGCTGCAGAACACCTTCTTGGGACCCGTAAGTTCAAACGTGCAAGGAAGTACTCGTGGGGAACGCACTCGCACCTAGGATTACCCCTGTCAATGTAACCGCGAGTTGACGCGGATGTTATTGCGGAGAAGGAACTGTTTTCACGGCAACACAACGTCAGGTGGTCTAAGTCAATCTTTTGTCCTTCGCTGGACCATGCCAGGTGCACTTCGTTGTTATTTTTGGCACGTAAACCTCCCAAAGTTTAGTTTCACGCAGCCACGATTCTTTTTCACCCAGAGCGACACTTTCTGCGGCCAAGTGCGTAGCTCGGTCTGCGAGTTCGTGTTTTCGCTTCCGACTGTGCAGCTGCTCTTTTCGAGGTAAGCGGCGACATGTGCTCACCGCACCGGCCTAGAAATAGTTGGGGGCTACCGGATAAGCGCAGTTTTCCGCACTTGACACGACAAGTCGGCCTGTCATTTTCATCGGTTATCATTCTGGCACTTTAAATATACTTCCGTGCTCTTCATGTTGCCTACCATGGTTTTGTTGTTTCGTTCGAAAGGTTTGATTGAGACTAGTCTGTCACCGTGCCATCTGCAGTCGACGTGACAGATGCTTGGCACAGATGAAACAAGAGGGACGTAGGAATTTCTAGCTTGATGCCATTGTAATTCGAGCGTGTCAACTTCGTCAGCCCGTTTCACATCTTGATTCTTCTGTGGGGGACGCACATGGAGTGTACATTTTACGGCACGGGTGGGGATCATTGCAGCGATTAGTTATCTCTGCCCTGTTGCCGGCGAGACTTGCAACACCAAGATTTTTTTTTTTTTTTCTTGTTAATCTTGCCGGACAATGCTCGTATCGTATGTCTCAAGATAAACCATAGACCTTTTTACAGCATGTGGAGTGTCCAGAAATTGAACGTTCAAATCAGTGTTGAGGAATGGGCACCCCCATTCCATTCCAATTCCATTCCGGGGAATTAGTTTTCGATAATTCCATTCCTTTCAACTCCTAGGAATGGGTACACTGGGCCCATTCCCACTCCTGGAATGGCTGAGTTGCTCCATTCCATTCCTCCAATTCCTAAACGTTAAAAGTGTCACTTGACAGCAGAAATGTTCAGAAATGTATTTGGAAATACAAATACTGGGATAGATGAAAATAGTAAATAAAATATTGATACTCAAGTCTCAAATATATCTATAAAAATGTATCGTGATACATATCGGAAATACATTCTAAAAAGAGGCAAAAAGTCTTTGGAAATACAAATACAAGAATACATTTTAGGGAGGGTAGAAATATAAATACTGATAATACAATACATTTGTTTGAAGTGGAAGTTTTTTTTTTTGGTCCCGAAATTACTTTTCCGCAGGCTTGGCACTTCGCCTTGAAGGTAGTGGTTCCGGACGAAGAGTCCTCAGTGGGTTTAAAAGACATTCCATCAAGGATTGACCGCGGTCCCTTCCCTAGCATCCTGTCTGACTGACCAGTGATGCGAAAAGACTTCGACCTCTTCAAAACATCACCACTTCCCTGTCCAATAAGGGCGCCCCTGTCAGCACTGATCACATGACGTCACGGTGGGATGAACTAGTATTCTTGAATCTGTAGGTGTTGCCTTGAACATGAAACTTTACCCACGCTGCTGTATGAAAGGACAATACATACTTTTGTTGTAGCTGACCTCGTTGAAGACCATGCAGGCAGTTGCATTTGGAATTTTCGAGAAAAGTGGACCACCTGAAGCATCCTGAACCACATGTATTATCTTCTGTTACGGTTGAAAAATCGATACGGTGGCATCCCTGTTGTGATGGTCCTTCCTGCCGACTCTCCCCCTCCAACGCATGAATTGCAGTCTTCAAGTTTCGCCTAGCATCATTCAAACAAAGGTCTCATGGATTGCGATCTGAGATTGCTGGCACAGGTGCGAGCTCTTCGAGAAACAGCGCACTCGAGACAACTCGAAAGCGAGGTCACGTCTGGCCTCCTTCCTGGGTATCGAATCACCAGAGCAGCAGGTCACGTTCACGTGGGCTGATGAGGTACCAGCCGTGCAATATTACAGGCGCAGATGCATTCGGATATGTGTTGAACTTCACTGGTGAAAGGCGCCGCTGCCCCCCCCCCCCCCCCCCCCCCTCCCCTCCACCCTCTGTTCTTTGCTTTGACGCTTGTTTTTTGTTTTGCATTTTTTTCTTTTGCGCATAAGTCTGCTAGGGCCTTAGCGGGTTCGCAGTTTCTCGCTCATTTTATTTCTGAACAACCGACTCCGACTGGCTCGGTATAGCTGAACGTAAAAACTAAATAAATAAAATATAAAGAACCTGGCCCATTCCATTCCCATTTTATCCGGGCAAAAGGCATCTAATTCCGTTCCCATTCCATTCCCCTGAACGTTGCCGCCATTCCATTCCCATTCCATTTTGGGGTCGCGGAATGATTCTGGAATCGTTCCAACTCTGGAGTGGCAACTCTGAAACACTGGTCCAAATATTACAACCAAATTTCAGTAAAACCAAGTAGATAAAAACAGTTTTCTTTTTCTTTTCTTTTTGTAACGTTTTCTGCGCGCACCTTGCAAATACAAAAGTGAAGACTTCGTCGAGCTTGTCTGCTTTACAAAAATGTAACTGAAAGTGCCCCCCCTCCTCTTTCACCCTCAGTGGTCCTGCTATTTGTAATGGTCGTGGAGGGCCTCTATGAAAGGGGGGAAAGAGAGACATGAAAGCTACGACAAAGACAGTGCCTCGGAAGGACTAAGGATACTAAAAGGCTTACATTGCGTGGCACGTGGGACGTGAGATGGTCGGTTGCCCGGAACCAAGTGGGCACATCGGTAAAGAAAGACACGTCACGCCAGCTTAAAGTTTCCATCAAGACTGGGTCTCTTTAGAATATGTACATGCATCCAAAGACAGCGCGTGCCACTCTGAAGCATGTGGTGCCATCTCGTAACGACATACACTATAATCTTTAGGCGCCATCTAGATTACTGATGGCACACTACATCTTCTCCTCCCTTAATAGAAAATGAATGTTGGATAATTTGATTTGGGACATAAGAAAACAGCTTATTTTTTTTAAAGCAAATACAGAGTTCACGCACACACAGGAATCCTACCAATCACTACAAGCAAAAGAATAACTCTATGCAGTGACGGGAGGGAATATATGGACGAAAGAAAATACACTTAATGGTGCAGTTGGGTGATTTCAGATAAGATCGACCAAAGGGTGGCTGGTCGACATTTTTAAATCAACTGATGTTTTTATATGACATTGTCTAGTGTCTGGTATAAACGAATCCACACTTAGTTTTGACCAGAAAAAAAATTTGGAGACAAGAAAAAGCGTAAGGCAGGGAGAGGTGGACAGTTGCAATAACGCGCACTGATGGAGGGGGCAAGTTTGAAAGTGAATAATTAAAACAATAAAATTAGGAGAATTTTAAAACTTTTTACAAACAAACTAGGGGTACAACTTGCTTGTAATATAAAGTAATAATATTTATTAAAAATTTATTTAGTTTTCTAAAAATTGCCAAACATGCCTGCTCGAACGACAAATGGCAAACTTTGGAAATCTGTATCTCATGAAATAATTTAATCATTATTACATAACTTGCAGACATTATTTTACTAATATATGGCTATTATTGAAAAAATAAATAAGGTATCTGAGTGACACAATAGTTACAATATATTTAGGCAAACATGGGAAAAAAATCAAACAAAGAAAAATTCCAATGCGAATAAAAAAAAATAACACCACCTTCGATTTTTTTAAAATTTGGGTACCCTGTTATACTCTATTTCGGCATTCATTTCTATTAAAAACATGTTGCATCATTGCACTGTGAAAGAAGAAACAACTCCCCAAAGTAGGGTCCTCTTTCAAAGCCTACACTTAGCAGTGTCCTATACAAGAAGTGACTCTGAGTTCCAGTTTCATGAAACTTGCACAAATCTTTTATATACATTTATTCAGATGAGGTCATTGATAAAAAGAGTGATCGGTCACACAGTAAAAGGGAGGAGAAACTATATACAGCATTTTACATAAGCATACAAAGTGGTATCATATTAGAGACTAATGATTTGAGAAAAGATGCTGCAGTGTGAAGTTGTACCTTCCGGTATATTTTACATCTAGAGTAAAATAAATAACTTTACTTCCACACACAAAAACAAAGATATAATAGTAAGATATTTAGGTTGGCTGTGTATTTACGATTACAAACAATTTCAGGTGACGGATGCCATAGTGCCTAACTGGAGCAGCTTCGATGCTCTCGGTGTATGAATGAATCGTGGCAAGCCGATATATTTTATCCTGCTCGAGGATAACATTTTGGGATTTTTTTTATAGTGATCAGATAAAAATTATTAGTAACCACCAACAAAAACAATAGGTTAAATACCCCGTGAAGAAAAATGTGATAAATAAGATGTCCCTGCATTCAAAATGAGCAGTCCTGGGGAAATCAAATTCGGCACTTTACGCTAAGGTTTTCCTCGCTGTACCCATTTAATAAAGTTGCTTCCAAGCAGATCCGACTGTCCGTGCTACATATACGTCACAGGTCCCTTCTGTTGATGACTTGCTGAGCCGCCACGCGTGCCAAGACTGAATGCCAGGGAAGGCGCGCACCGTCAGCCACTCTTCTTTTTTTTGTTCACGATACCGAACAACCTCATTTTCGTCCAAATATACAAGATGCACGCCTTTCAGTTTCTTTGATAGAACGCTCACCATTGTCCTGGCCGTCTGAATTGCGCTTACTGAACGTTCTCTCAGGTTGTTCAGCGTGGCCTGGTGCTTCACGAGTCCGCCAACTCCGTCACATGCATTTTTCCCATGTCCAGATGCAGAAAATAACCACTGGGCTTGTGGGCAATCGTCCTTTGCAAATTGGTGAAGCTGGTAGCGATTCTTGAAATGACTGGCGGCGCCGTCACTTACGTACGTCACGTACGAGTATACCGCAAAGTTGTCTTCAACCCACTCCTTCACTTTTTTTAGAGCCA